ATACTTAGGACCATGTGATATTTCAGTTTTTCTTTTTTAATAAATCTGCAAAAATGTCAACAATTCTGTGTTTTTCTGTCAATATGGGGTGCTGTGTCTACATTAATGAGGAAAAAAAATTTACTTAAATGATTTTAGAAAATGTGTGCAATATAAAAAAGAGTGAAAAATATAAGGGGGTCTGAATACTTTCCGTACCCACTGTATATATATATATATATATATATATGTTGTTCATACAGATTACCATGTTTTACATTTCTGAATAAAAAAATATATATTTTTGTTGTGGGTGTCAGGAAAATATTACTTTTTACCTGATGTCATTTTACATTGATAGATAGATTTCTTACAATGACAGCAATGAAAACAGGTAAAAAGTATAAAACTACACAGTGCACACGTTCAGTATAAAATTGTGTCTGCTCTACAATTACTTTTCCTTTTTATCTTCAAACTCACAATATGATACAAAGTTGTTTTGAAATAATTTTCTTGAAACATTTGCCTTGTTTTATGAAGAATTACTTACTGCTCCAAAAATATGCAATTTAATCCTAATGCAAAGCCTGTGTTGATATTCATAAAGATTATTGTTTCCTTCCAAAAAGGGAAAATGAACTGTAATTGGTGGTCTCTGTTTCATTCCCCTGCTAGTTCTGCCAGAAAACAGATTACACAAACATTCACAGAGAGTTTAGGATGGCAACCTTCTGACGGCCCCAGCCAAGCAGAGCTAAACCAGGGGCCAGTGGAAGGGTCTGTGCACACTTCCTCTTTGTGTTATGCCTAAAAATATGGAGGCTGTTCATAAAAACCTTAATATTCTCAAGCAACACTTAAATATGTATGCATGTACAATAACAATACTTCACAGTAAGTGGCCTTCCAGCAGTACTTCAAAGACAATTGAAATAATTATGAATTTACATTTAAAGATGTACTGAAGTCCTACTTGAAAAACAAACAAACTGTTAACTGGATGAAAGTGTAAACAGTGTATCTGATTTTGTTTTCTCCAAGTGGTTTTGAAAGCAACATTTACACCATATGGACAAAAGAATTGGGACAACATCTTAATTATTGAATTCAGGTGTTTCAAGGAGACCATGCGGTCTGTATTTACAAACACTTGTGGAAAAAATTTGATTATGAAGAGCTCAGTGAATTCAAGTGCGGTACTGTGATAGGATGTCACTTTTACAATAAGCCAACTATACAATAAGGTAAACTGTAAGTGGTATTATTGGAAAATAACACTTTAGAAAACACAGTAGCTCAGCCATGAAGGGGAAGACCACATAAAGTTACAGAGCGGGTCACCGAGTGCCAGCCTAGTGCTCTGCTGATTCCATAGATAAAGATTTCCAAACTTCCACTGACATTAATATAAGCAGGCAGAAGCTTCCTGGAATGGGTTTCCATGGCCAAGCAACTGCATGCAAGCCTCACATCTCCAAGTACAATGCCAATTGTGGAATGGAGTGGAGTAAAGCAAAAGGATACTGGACTCCGGAGCAGTGGAAACCTGTTCTGTGAAGTGATCAATCACGCTTCTCTGTTTGGCAGTCTGATGGCCAAGTCCGGGTTTGGTAGATACCAGGAGAATGTTACCTGTCTGACTGCATTGTGCCAAAGTTTGGTGGAGGAGGGATAATGGTATGGGGCTGTTGTTCAGGGGTTGGAAAAGGGGGGACCAACTCCATATTAATGTATATGTATTTAAAATGCATTGTCATTAAAGTCCCTGTTGGTGTAATGGTCATGTCTCCCAATACTTTTGTCCATATAGTGAATCATGATTAATTCACAATTCTAGGGTGGAAGGTATATTAATTTTTGTACCATATCTATTGGTTTATCATTTAAATCCTACAGTGCCAAACTTATTTTTTTTTTATGTTTTGCTTGAAATGTGTGCTTATGCTATCTTGCTTTAACATATACTGTATGTCATTTGTCTTTGAACTCTTTCCGCGCCATTGACGGAATTTTCCAGCTTTCCGTGTTTTCACTGTTATATGGGAGGTTGCGCTGTTACACATTTTCTGAAAGAGTATTGAATCCCTGGATCAAAACATGGTGAAGAAACAGAAACATGTGATTGCATATGTAAGCAGATGCATATAAGATAATGTGATTATTAAACAGCATATAAATCAAAACCGCCTAATGTTACTGAATGAAGTGAAGTAGTTTAAGCTTTGCAGGCTTTGGGGGTGTTGATTGAAGTGATCGACTCCATCTGTGTTGTGCTCATCATTCTGAATCCGATCCGGATGTAGTCTAGTCCAAAACACAATTTTCTCTGCATTTTCTTCAAAATCGCTTTTTCTTGCTTTTTTAATGAAACTTACCCACATTCAAGTGTTGGTTAAACAAGAATGCATGAAGCAAGAATATTTATGTATGTATGTATGTATGTTTGTTTTTGGTTTTGGTTTAAAGCAGAGGCTCTGTTTATTCTTTTGACATGTTGCATGTTCAGATATCCATAAAACAGAACATTCTGGGGGCCATGAAAATTTTGTGAAAATTATCAAAAATGCTGACAGTGGCTGTAATTAATAATACAAAGAAATGGTGGGGAAAGAGTTAAAATTGAAGACTTTTTTGTTTCTATTTGATTAAAATGCTTATTAGACAGTTCTTATTAAATAAATATGTAAAAAGTGTGAAAGAAAGAACGCAAAGGACTGACAAAGTACTGCAGCGTTATCATAATGAGCATTACTTTGTTTGGCCATTGTCTTCCTCACCTGGGGCCAAGCTCATCCTCACTCCTCCACACAAAGTCTCCAAACTTCTCGTAGTGGGAATTGTAGTGATGCTGTACACGATACAGCAGTGGGGGTGAAATCTCCATCAGGGTGTTGTAGGCCGTCTGTTGCTCCTTTCCGCTGGTGTAGCCATTATAGAGGTTGTACACTTTGTCTGCGATCTCTGTTTGAGGAGAAAGTAGATCTGACATCTGAAATCTGAACTGTCTGTTTTCAAAGAACAAGCTTTATTGCCTTTTTTTGTGTGGAGCCTTCTCAAAAAGAAGTACACTTTAGCATACTTAAAAAAAAAAGAGTAGTTATTAGGGAAATAATATTCTAAAGAATATGCTTCAGTTTGAACTAAATGTAATGTTTTCGGACAATGCTAAACTCAATTAAATTAAAGTGTATTCTAGTTTATATTTATATCAGTCCCACTTAAGTTGGACTTGAGTACATAATAATATTTAATTTAATATTTACTTCTATTGTGTTTGAAATATTGTTGAAGTGTACTGCTGACAAGCATTTATGGCAAACTAAAATACACTTATGTCATTTTTATTAAAACTTGTATGTCATGTATTTACATATACTTGTTATTATACATTTGTAATGTTGAAATAATATCTGGACATTCAGCTATTTAAAATATACTTTTAGGATTTAAAGTACAATGCAAGTAGACATTTAATATAATTAAGCACAAGAGAATGAGAACCAAAGATCAGATTTCCTAACATGTTTGAATTGTTTCTTATCACATCACAAATGGTAAGTTCCACTTTTCTTTCATTTGAGTGAACTTTCTGTAATCTTACTTTTACTTTGACATGGATTTTGAGTGCTGTACTTCCCTGTGATTCATACTGCTGCCAGACCTGTGAATTCTGTTCAGGTAAAATGGTCTAGCCGCTATGGATGACGTAATCGTAAACAAGCAGGACATGAAGAGCTGCCACCTCAGATGGGTGTGAAGATGACATTTCACTGGCGCGTCGCTCACTCTGTTCATTCACACATGTGAATGGAGTGAAGGAGAATGGCAATGTACCTTCTGCTTTGCTGTCATCCACCATCGGACATGACGTGCGAACGGTCACAAAACTCGCATCCGACCGACTACCACGGCTGTCCAAGGCATAAAGAGTGAACCTAGAAGAGAGAAAGGGGTGGATATGAGAAAAAAGCAATGTGTGTCCTATTCTGTCTTAAGTGCCTTTGTAACTGAAAAACAAAATAACTTTGGGTTTAGACAACATAAACATGACGTCATGCGACAAAATCATTAAAACCGAAAGGTGTCAATGAAAGAGTGTTTCTGGAGTTCTTGTTTATGAGCCTCAGACCACTAAAAACATGCAGGCAGGAGCGCAGGGATTCCAGTGGATTCTGTTAAGTTAGGAAAATTGCGTGCACAAGAAAAAAAAAACAGCCATTACAGCTAATAGCAGCTTAAATGGGACTCCCACTTCCTTTAATGACGGAGTTCCGTTTGGCAAATACAAAACACATTAAAGCTGCTGCTCAGCATTTTCTCAGACCACCCAGCACAATGTATGCTAAACAGGCCTGGCTCCACTTCTAATCACTGGGAGAAACAGCCCACCATCAACTGGCATGAACACTCGGGTCATTGAGGAGACCGATCCTGACTAATTCACTATGTTTGACTGTCTATGTGTAGTATAACAGGCTCTGTCTAGTTATTATTATTAGGTAAAAGCAATTTGCATGAAATCTAGAAAAAAATATTTTATTTGTATTAAGTGTAAACAGTCAAAGTCAAGTCAGATTTATTTGTACACTCTCAAAAATAAAGGTGCTTAAAAGGTTCTTCACAGTGATGCCATAGAATAACCATTCAGTCAAAAGTTAATTAAAGAACCATCTCTTTCTTACCTTTTTATAATCTGAAGAACCTTCTTTCGCCACAAAAAAAACCTTTTGTGAACCAGAAAGTTTCTTCAGATGTTAAAGGTTCTTTATGGAACCATTTAGGCAAAAAGGTTATTCTATGGAATCGTGAAGCACCTTTATTTTAAGAGTGTAAGGCTTGTTTCAAAGCAGCTTTACAGGAAGTCATACTATTATGTCTTTAATGCTTTAGTGCTGTTCTATAGAGTAAGTTTCAGATCTGGGCAATAAGACGACATGAAACGATAATAAGAGCGATCCATCAGATTTTAGATCTAACTAGATTTTATTATATTGTATATTATTATATTGTATATTGTATATTATTATATTGTATTTATAGTTTTGTCTGTGTTTCAATGCCTCAGCGAATCAACTAAGCCATTGAAAGGCAAGAAACAGATTTAAATATGGTTGGTTTAGTTGGTTGTGTTCAAAGCAAGAGTAAGCAATTCTTAAATATTAATGAAAATAAGATCAGATGTCTCAGGTGAAAAGTCTGATGCCCGAGCACATGCCTAATAGCATCTAACGGGCTTTTCACACTGTGCTTAACTCCGGGTTATCGTCATTCTTAACACCGCTTTTAACCCCGGGTAAAGAAACGTTTCACACCTGTAAGTTGAAAGCGGTGTTAGCACAGTTTTTTCCCCGGGGGTTATGAAAACCTGCTCCGGAGTGTTAACCCTGCATTGTGGTGCTAAGTTTGTTCAGTGTTAAACAGAGTGGTGTTTGCTTGTTGCTGCTGGACGCTTGGCAACAGACAGCCATTCAGAAACTGAGCAGCGAGGTTTGTCACGTCAGTAACAGGAAACGTGCGTCGTGTAAACAGCAGCCAGTGAGAGAAAAGTAAGAAATGTCAAAAGACGGAAAGTATGTAAACGGGTTGCCTGCTGTTCATCCAATCAGTGACAGTGACACCGCACATATGCAAATAAGAACGTTAACCCGGGGGGTTTAGGAATGTACAGTGTGAAACGTCTGATAATGAATACCTAGGATTAACATTAATTTATACTGTAGGGATGGTCAATGTTTTACTTTACATGTAATCAATCTAGAATATATGAAAGTTTCACTTTTTGAAATAAGTTACAAATAATATATATATAACTTTTTCACGATATTCTAATTTTTTTAGATGCACCTGTATACCTAAAGTCTGCTAAATTGGAACAATTTTAAATGTTGTGCTTAATGCACTTTAATTGTAAGAAAGTAGAGCTGAAGTTCAACTAAAGATATACTGAAGTATATTTATTGGCCTAAAGTGGAACTATGGCAAGTATACTTCAGGTATACTTTAAATATCTTGCATTTAAAGACCAATATTATTCAAAGATCATACAATCCTCATCAACAGTGACATTAAAACACACATTAGGCTTAATATTGAGAAATGTGCACAAGTAGTAGTCCAAATAAAGTTTAATTATAATTTGTATCTCAGTAAGTCTTGAGCAATATGTCAGTAAATATATTAATATATTTGAATTATACTTAGTATGGAAAAAAAAATATTTTATATATATATTACTTTTTGTTTTTTTACTATGGATGTTATCATATAGACACTCAGTTACTGCTTAGCCACAAGAGAGAGAATGCAGATAAGGGTCAGACAGCCATAGACAAAGGAGATGACTGGAGAAAAGATACAAGACATGCAGTGAGTAAAACGCTATACAGATGTCCACCAAGGATCACTGCAGTGAAATAGATAGACTTACTTACTCTGCACAAATGGCAGTATCCCCAGTCTTATGTGGACTTCTACCAAGCTTTACAAGTCAGCCAGTCAGAGTAGGCTACTATCTCATGTACAATTCACAATTTCATCTAAAATGTTCTTTATGAAACACATTCATACTAGTTCAAATCTATTAACATTTTATTGACTTTATTTACTGTCTGTTTACTGACACATCACTCAGTACTCCCTGATATAAAAAATAATAATTACACTTTATTTGGAGTACTACTTGTGCACAATGCACATTTCTATTGATGAGGATTGTATGATATTTGGATAATATCAGTCTTTAAATGCAAGATATTTAAAGTGTACCTAAATTATACTTGCAATAGCTCCACTTTTAGCACAATCAAATATATTTCAGTATATCTTTAGTTAGACTTCAGCACTACTTCTGCACAATTAAAGTGCATTAAGTACAAAATTAGTTGTTCCAATTTAGCAGACTTTAAGTATACAGGTTTAATGATATGTGAATAATACGTAACTGTATTTGTAGTGTAGCATGAAATAAATGTATTTCAAAAACATTTTTGTATATTTATTTATACAATAATATCCATCTGTAAAGGCTTTGCAATCGACCATTTGGCCAAATTGTTAAGTGGCTGAGATTAATATTTCAGTAAAATTAACCACATTCAATTAACTAATTTGATGTAAGGGCTTTTTATGTGATATTTAATCTCATTATCGAATGTTTTGTTCATATTGTCAGCAGATGTGCCCATGTTTTATACACAAATTGAATAAAACATTGGTGCCAAAAAGGCGCAAGTGACTTTTTTTAATAAAAAAAAAATAATTTATTTTTTTTCTGAATAAAATTTTAAAATAGTGTTCAATATGTATCCTGTCATCCATGTGTGTATACATTTTTATTATAAAAGATTGAAATCAGTACACAAAATCAAATCAAACTATGGTAATTGTTTTGTTTTGTCCCTCCTGTAAAGTTGGTGAAATGTCACTTACGCCCTTCTAGTTCTCACCACTCTTAGTGGCTCTGAAGACACTAGCTCTTGATGATGATCACCTTAAGAGCTGCAAATCTTTAGATTGCTCTGTGCATCAGAGATGCCTCTGTGAGCAGGTTTTTCAGACATGAAGCTCATTAAAACATACCAGCACACATTCATGGCCATCATCAGCATTAAATGCACAGCAGAATGCATCACTCAGAAAAATTTAGACCTATGTTTATACAGTGGGTAAAATAAGTATTGAACACGTCACCATTTTTCTCAGTAAATATATTTCTAAAGGTGCTGTTGACATGAAATTTTCACCAGATGTTGGTAACAACCCAAGTAATCTATACATACAAAGAAAACAAAACAAATAAGTTCAGAAATAAAGTGGAATGACACAGGGAAAAAGTATTGAGCACATGAAGAAAGTGAGGTGCAAAAAGGCATGGAAAGCCAAGACACCAGCTGAAATCTATCAGTAATTAGAAAGCAATCCTGCCCCTTGTCAGTGGAAATTAATATTAGCTGGTTCAGTCTCAACTGATGGCCAATAAAAAGGTGTCTCATGACCAACGTGTTACACAAGAAACATTTCATGATGGGTCAAATCAAAGAGCTCTCTCAAGACCGTCACAACCTTATTGTTGCAAAACATACTGATGGCATTGGTTACAGAAGCATTTCTATACTTCTGAATGTTCCAGTAAGCACTTTTGGGGCCATAATCTGGCCACGACCAGGTGCTCCTCACAAGATTTCTCACAGAGGAGTGATAAGAGTTGTCTAAGAGCCAAGGATCACTTGTGGAGATCTTCAGAAAGATCTGAAAATAGCATGTACAATTGTTTCAAAGAAAACAATAAGTAATGTACTCAACCGTCATGTCCTGTATACACGCTCACCGCCCAACCCTTTTCCTGGATATCTACCTTCCTGCAGAGTTCAGATCCAAACACGATCAAACACACCTGTCTGGAATTATTAAGTGTTCCTGAAGATCTTAATTAGCTGGTTCAATTGTGCTTGATCAGGGTTGGAGGTGAACTTTCTCCAGGAACAGGATTGGGCACCCCTGGTCTGAACATTAACCACAGTCTCTAATTCAATCCCTCTAGCACCATCAGCTGTCCAACATTGCACTCACGTTTATGCTATTTGTTTTCCCCTCTGATTGCTTAGCTCAAGTCGACTGCACCCTATGAAGTTATTGTCATGAATTTTTTTTTTTTGTTTTACTTTTTTTAAACTCCTCCTAGACTGTATTCAGACCTAACGTGGTGTGTGTCATGAAAACCATTACCTGATGGTACTTGCACAGTTTTGGCACAGGGCCACCTATTTGTGAAGAGATGTGAAAAATGGCACAAACATCAAAGTTTGAAGCAAAAATAAAAAATTTAAATGAAAGAATGAATGAATGAATGAATGGTTAGGCCAAAAATCACAAGACTGGCCTCTTTAGTTTTGGTGCAACATACTGAGTTGAACAACACCCAATTTTCCCATGTCGG